GCGACGGTACCGTCGCAGGAGCAACAGCCTTAAGAAAATGCCATAGGTTTCAATGGGCTACATGTTCTCTATCCTTGAACCGACCCTCTCAGCTATCTATGGCCGTGACAGTCGTATATAACTCATTCACACGCACGCACGCACGCACGCACGACTCGCAGCTAGCGCCTGCATACCTCCCAACTCTCATTGGTTGATACAAATCACGTGTCTGAAACTCCTGTTTTAATAATTCCTTTTATTGTGCATTGTGACCCTAAACCTAACCCTAACCCTAACCCTAATCCTAACCCTAACCCTAACCCTAACAATACTTAAAATTTAATTTTAAAAATTAACTATATTTGTATCAACCAATGAGAGTTGGGAGGTATGCAGGCCCTAGCTGCGAGTGCACGCACGCACGCATGTATATATATATATACATGTTTATACATATATTATTGTTTATACCGCATGTTTATACATATATTATTTATCTTAGTGGCTACTTACCTATTTTAATTTCGCGTACAAACAAAGCTGAGTACCAGGCATAGAGTTATATATTAGTTAAATATTATATATATATTTATACAACTACCAGGCAATTCTTATCCATTCCTAGATGGCGCACTCAGATCAAAAACAACAGCTAGCATAACGTACAAATATATTATGCCAGGCTCCTTCCACCAAACACAGCTATGTCAGTATGTGTCTACTATATCTGTTTACTACTCTGACAGCTTTTTGACGTTTATGTGCGTTCAAATAAATATTTTTTAATGTGAATTCAAAACTTCTTACAAAACATTTCGGTTTTGCATGAGTACCACCATCAGACACCAGGTAGCGCGGGTAACAGGAAGTTGACAAGAATGGCGCAAACGGGTGAATTTCCACTCCACAAATGTATATTTAGTGGAAATGTGAGAAGACTTTCATCCCTTTTACGAGCACATGACATTTCTGAGCAAGATATCTATGGTATGTGCTACGCGCATCAATGGAATGCCGTGAATATTTCACGGAGCCTGTTAGATTCGAAGTGCCGTACATGATCACACTTACTTAGCTCTAGATACAATAATGTAACCCAAACCCAAGAGGATAGGGTTACAAAGTGCCCCTACCCTTTTCTGCGGAGGAATGCCCGAGTGA